TTTAGAAAAAAGATCAAGATCAGGGAAAGGTAACTTAGTAATCAGGATTGCCTGAAATCCATGGCCCAAAAAAGATTCAATAATTTGGGGATCATATTTCCAGAAATACTTTTTAATTGCTCAGACATAGTAGAACAATAAATTCAAGGGTTAAACAAGGCTGTCCATTATTATTACTTCTATTTGACATACTACTAGATAGGTTCACTATAGCAATGACAATAACAAGAAATTGTGGTAATAACTATAAGTAAAGAATAAACAAAATTATCATTTTTAAGTGATATGATGGTGTACTTAAAGAATATAAAGACTAAATTAAAAACTAATTGAAATAATTAATAACTCTAAAATACTTGCAGGATATAAAATCCACACAAATTAAATCAATATGGTTAGTAGGAAGAGAAAGAGAAATTCCATTTAAAATTACTACATAGGGAGGGCAGGGCCAAGATAATGGAGTAAAGTGAACATTTTTTTGCTGAGCTTTCCCAACATTCCCCTATAAACAACTTTAAAAAGCATGTCACATCAAATTCTAAGTGGGATAATCAACGAAAAAATCACAGTGAGTCATTTTTCTAGCCCCTGGACAGCTTAGGAAGACAGAAAGAGAGGTCTTCAGACATTGAAATTGGGATTGTCTGGGAGTGTGACACAGTCAAAGGGATACCAGGTATGGGTCTTGGAGGCAGCAGCAGTAGCAATGGCAGCAGCATTACCAGGTTCACTCGGCACCCAGGGATCATAAAGGGATTGAATATCTGGTCAGAAAGATATTACAAGGAGCTTTCATGCTATCACTGGGTACAGGGCTAGGCATCATTTGGTAACATCATTTAGCCCATTACCCAGTTCTGGGTCACAGTTCCATGGTAGAGAGTAGTGTTTGCAGTTCAAAGGATCAAATAGTCTACCTAGTCGTAGCTCCAGAGTGGAGAAAAGTCATGGTCACAAGGGAACAGGGACCCTACTTGGGTGAGGACCAGAGCATAGACCAAGAGGACATTGACCAAACCTCTTCCAAAATGACACCCCCTTGGAAGCACCAAAAACTTACAGGCTTCCAGACTTAGCTGTGAAAACAGGAGAATATAAAAGCCTGAGTCTTGGGACAGGGAGGAAGATTTATGCCCACTACAGACTCCCCACCCCCTTCCAGAGGTAAGCAAAGCCCAACTCTAACATAAAGTCCAAAATCAAGAAAGTCTGACAAAATGAGCTAACAATTACAACAAAAATGAACCTAATCATGAAAAGCTACCATGGTGACCGGAAAGCTCAAGATATAAATTCAGAAGAAGACAATAGCTCAAAAGCACCTACAACCAAAGCTTCAAAGAAAAATGTAGATTGGGCATAATCCAACAAGAGATTCCAGAAGAGCCAAAGAAAGATTTTTTAAAACAGCAAAAAAAAATTTTTAAAGATCAAATCAGAGGATTAAAGGAAAAATTGGGGACAGAAATGAGAATGCAAGAAAGTTACGAAAAGAAAATTAGCAACTTGGAAGAACAGGCAAAAAAAATACTGAAGAAAATAATTCCTTAAAAATCAAAGTTGACCAAATGATGAATTCTTAAATAAAAAATTGTCCAAATGATGAATTCTTAAATAAAATTCTTAAAATAAGAATTGGCCAAATGGTTTTTTTTAAAAAAAGGTACAAAACCTCATTGAAGAAAATATCTCCTTAAAAATTAGAATTGGTCAAATAGAAGCTAATGACTCCATAAAACATCAAGAAACAATAAAACAAAGTCAAAAGAATAAAAAAATAGGTGAAAATGTGAAATATCTTATAGGAAAAACAAGTGACCTGGAAAATCTGTTGAGGAGAGATAATTTAAGAATTATTGAACTACTTGAAAGTCATGATAAAAAGAGAGCCCAGACATCATTATTTCAAGAAATTATAAAGGGAAACTGCCCAGATAGCTAAGAACTAGCAGGTAGAATAGAAATAGAAGAAGCCCACTGACCACCTCCTGAAAATGATCCCAAAATAAAAAACTCCAAGAAATATTATAGCCAGATTCCAGAGCTCTCCATTTGGAGAAAATACTGCAATCAGCCAGAAAGAAATAATTCAAAAAGTGGAGCCACAGTCAAGATCACACAAGAGTTAACATTTACCATTATAAAGGAGAGGAAGACTTGGAATATGATATTCTGGAGGGCAAAAGAACTAGCATTACAATCAAGAATAACTTAGCTAATAAAACTGAATATAGTACTATCAGGGAAAAATGGATACTGAATGAAATAGAGGACTTTCAAGCATTCCTGATGAAAAGACCAGACTTAAGAGAGGCATAAAAAGATAAACATGAGTGAGAAATCATGAGGAACTTAATAAGGCTAAACTGTTTACATTCTCAGATGGGAAGATGATACATACAAAAGTATTTTATTATTATTAAGGCAATTAGAAGGAATCTACTTAAACAGAGAACATGTATGAGTGTATTATGTTGGGATGATTTTAAAATAAAAATGGAAGACTGGGAAAAATGGATGTACTGGGAGAAGGGGGAAGGGAGAGGATGAATGGGGAAATTTATCTCACATAAAAGAAGTGTGGAAGGAAGAGTTTTTACAATGGAGGGGGAAACGTGGGAGGGGAGTGGGCAATGCTTGATTTTCATTCTCATCTAAACTGGTTCAAAGAGGGAAGGATATATTATACACAGTTGGGTAAAGAAATTTACCTTACCCAACAGGGAAGTAGGGGGAGAAGGGAGTAAGACAAAGGGGTGTGTGTGTGATAATATTGAGGGTAGATTTAAAGGAAACCATGGTCAGAAGCAAAACAGACTTTTCAGGAGGGGACAGGGTAGAACAAAAGAGGAAAAATAGAAGAAAATAAGATGGAGAAACATTAACTGTGAATGTGAATGGATTGAACTCACTCATAAATGGAAAAGGATAGCAAAACAGATTAGAAACCAGAATCTAACAATATGTTATTTACAAGAGACGCACTTGGAACAGAAAGACACACACACACTCACATGCACACAGAGTTAAAATAAGGAGTTGGAATTGAATCTACCATGCTTCAGTTGAAGTAAAAAAGCAGAGTTAGTAATTGGCAAAAATAGGCCTAATTAAAAGAAATAATCAGGGAAATTATATATTGCACTATGTTATGTCCTACATAATAATACATAAAATGTACCATTGACAGTGAATTGCTATCCATACTAAACATATATGCACCAAATGGCATAGTATCCAGGTTCTTGAAGGAAAAGTTAAATGAATTATAGGAGGAAATAGACAGTAAATGTATACTAGAGGGGAATCTCAATAAATCTAACCATAAAATAAATAAGACGTTAAGGAGGTGAATATAATTTTAGAAAAGTTAGATATAATAGATCTTGAGAATATTAAATAGGAATAGAAAGGAATATATTTTTTACTCAGCTGTATATAGCACCTTCACAAAAACTGACCATTAAGGCATTAAAACTTCATGACCAAATGCAGAAAAGCAGAAATATTAAATGTAATCTTTTCAGATCATAGTGCAATAAAAATTACATTCAATAAAGGGACTTAACAGGATAGATTCAAAATTAACTAGAAACTAAACAATCTAATCCTAAAGAATCAGTGTGTCAAAGGACAAATCATAGAAACAGTCAACAATTTGTTTAAAGGTAATGATAAGAATGAGACAATATACCAAAATTTGTGGGTTGCAGGCAAAGTACTACTTAGGGGGAAATTTATATCTCTAAATGCTTACATCAATAAAAGAGAAAAAGAGCAGATCAGTGAACTAGTCATGCAGCTTAAAAAAATTACTAGAAAAAGAACAAATTAAAAATCTCCAATTAAACACCAAAATAGAAATCCTGAAAATCAAAGGAGAGAGTAATACAAGTGAAAGTGAAAAAACAAACAAACAAACCCATTAACCTAGTAACTCAATGGTAGGACTTTACATTTGTCCCTATTGAATTTCATCTTATTAGATTTAGCCCTTTGTTCTAGCCTGTCAAGATCCTTTTAGATTAAGACTGCCATCCACTGCAGCTAAGTCTCCTAGCTCTGTATCATCATATTTACTAAAGATGCTGCCATCAACATATTTATTCCAGACCAAAAAAAAATGTTAAATAGCATAGTGCCACATAAAGATCACTCTACTGGAGCCCTCTTCCAAAGTTGGCATGGGACCATCAATGACAATTCTATGAGTAGTCAAGTAGTTCTAAACCCATTTAACTTACTCAAGATCCCATAGTAAATTTAATGACCTGTAGGAAAAGCAAGGGGAGACTAATAATAACAGCTCCTTTTTCTACACTATTTTGAGGTTTATAAAGCACTTTCCACCTAATAACTCTGTTCTTATTTTACAGATAAAGAAACTGAGGCTTAAGGAAGAAAAGTGATTTCCTCATGGTCACATAGGCAATGTATCAGTATCAGGACTCCTGACTAGTGATTTTCCTATAATACTTTGTTCCTTCTAAAATTTACTAGGTGTAGTACCCCACTTACTAAGCCACCTGTCTCTGGCCTGGGTGCTCATTAAATTAAATTATTTATAGTAATGTATGTTAACTCCTTCCTCTTCCCACCCTTTAATATACTGCTGATCTGATCTTTACAGAACTCAAAGAAAAGAGGACAGGTGCAGTTAGTAAAGACTTCTTGAAGGATGCGGGACTTAACCTGGGTCTTGGAAGCTGAGCAAAGCTTGAACAGATGTTCTAGGCAGGGAAATTGGGGTTTGCTGATGGAAAAAAGTCTGTTTGGAGCACAGGGAACATATAGAGAGAAGCAGAGGACCTGGAAATATGTACGGGGAACCAAAGGATGAGACCTTAAATGCCAGGGTGACAGAATCTTGGGGCCTGTCAGTAGCTATTCTCTGTCTTGTAATGAGGCATAGAGACTATTGCTTGTCTACTCAGGGGAATTTCCCTTTGGAGAAATGGCTCAGGTTCCCTTAAGTTGACAAGTCTCCTTTCCTCCAGGATCATTTGGACTTCTGAGAAAGAATCTGAGGGACTACAGAGTGAAATTGCCAAGACCTACCTGGTTTTCTAATAATGCAAGGGAAGTAAAACTGTTTCAGCAAAACTATGGTGCTCACGAATTTACAGGTAAGAAAAGGGATGGATCCTTTAGCTGACTTGATGGCAATCCTGAGTCCCTGGAGGAAGGTGAGGGAGAGTCCTCACCCGAGCCCACCAGAAGAGGATGGCCTCTCAGCAGAAAGCCTGAAAGGGTAAAGATATGGTATCATTACTCTGATAGGGCTCTTGGAGAGGGAGAGGTTTTAGCTGATGGGCCAGAACCTCTGAGTGGAAGGTGGTGTGGGGCAGGCCTCAGCACCAACTTGGATCCCAGGGCAGCTTGCCTGGAAGAGACTTAAGACCTTTTAGCTATTTTAATACAGATGTCCTAGACTAATGATAAAGATGTGGTGCTTGTACCAAAAGTGTCATTATCTGAGCTGAAGCCTTTGTATTTCTGGTGCTGCTCCTGCTCAATGTCAGCACATATACATGCTGGGAGACCCTACTGTGAGCTGCAAAGATTAAGCATCCCCCACTACATGGACTAGAGCATTGAAATCTTGAACCCAGGTCTTCTAAAGAGTTGGGGGGAGAAGAGGAGAGGGGATGAAGGTCTGTTGGGATTTCTGGTCTTCTCCAGATTTAGTCACTCCTTCAGAAAGTGGTTAATTTTTTCTTTGTTTTCTTTCTTTATCTTTTTTGTTGCTATCTTTCTGATTGGGCTATTTTTTTCCCCTCTCCAGTACTGCCCATGTCAGATTTTTCATGTTCCCAAGATCAGGGTTGTCCAGTAATGTCTCTAAGGTCATTGAAGCCATTTCATTTGTACAATTCAACATGTATACAAATACAATTACATATATACATATATGTAATTTTATTTCATTATAATTGGTTTCCTTTGTAATTCTATGTATTTTATTACTTGCATTTAAAAACATTATTCCATAGGCTTTAACAGACTGCCAAAGGGGTCCATGACACGAAAAAGAAAGAACTTTTGCTATAGAAGACCTTTAGAATTTTGCCTTACATGTACGGTATGGTAGGATCAATGTCTACCAGGATACTTTACCATGAAGCCTAAATTAGTTTGTTCCCTAAAAGGTAAAGGAAGCTGATTTGATAGACCCAAGAAGTTAAGGTTCAAGTTATATTATTATTGATATGAATTCCTGTTCACCTCAAGTCTTATCACCCTTGATAAGACTTCTCTGTCACCCAAAAGTATAAAAGAGGTCTTGCCTGGTGGATTCAATGCCCTTCAGATTTGGTGGATATCCCACAGCCAGAGGAGTCATCACACTGTGCCCTGACAACCAGAGGGATTTGGTCTACCCAAGCTAAATGTTGTATCCTTATCGAATATCCTTTCTATGCTATGGCTAAGTAAACCACTCTTTGTTAACTGTTGACTGACCTACAAGTGTTTCATTTGATCCCATTTTTAAATCTGAGCTATCAAGCCCAGCCAGAGCCAGGTTGGTCTATTATACTATCATTGGACGGCTCCAATTGTTAGGCATTTATTTCCCCCTATATAGAGCTCAAATCCAACTCTCTGTAACTTCCTACTATTGATCCTAGGTCAGCCCTTTGGAGCCAAGAAAAACAAGCCTAATCTCTCTTCCTCAACATGGCTTAACTTAATTTAACACACCCTTCCTGAGTCCTCTCGTGTGTCTATCCCTGTGCTGGGTTCCACTGGGTAACAGAAATAGTCCAGGGCCCTCTCTCATCAAGAATCTAAGTGGGGAGAGAGAGGAAAGTGAGGGCAAAGAGAATTCACACACAGGAGACAGTTAGGCAAAGCCTCTGTACTTTGGATAATTAGAGTCCAGAATGAAGGCTAGAGGCTGAGGTTTTGGTAGATCAAAGAAGGAGTAGCTCAGAAAGGACTGGGGCAATTTTTGGAGAAGGGTCAGTGAAGTTGGCCTAGAATGAAAGAGTGCGTGTAGACATCCAGAGAGGATTCCCCACAGACAGATGAGAGTGGTTGATATTCCTTCCTCTAGCTGTGTGCTGACCTCTCCCCACCCCAGCTCAGAATGAGAGATATATCACACCCTCCAATAGAGTTCAAACCTGAAGAGCTAGGCATAAGGCAGGGAAAGGCCTGGGGGGGGGGCGGGGGGAGTAGATAGGGGGTGGGGTAGAGGGGACAGCTGTAAATTTATCCTGGCTGTTGGATGACTTCATTTCAGCAATTATAAAGCTGAGGCAGCTGGGGATTGAATACGGAAATCTGAGCTGGGCCCCAGCCATGAATGAGCCCTACCTCCTTGATTCTAAATTGTCAGCTGGCACAAAGGCCCTGGCCCCACAGATCTGTGCGAAGATGGTGCTGGAACCCTTTGCCCTCAGTTCTGGAAATGCCCATGATTTTCTCCACTACCAGCCCCAGTGTTATCATCATAGTATTTCCAACTCTGTTTTGGTGAAGGTGGAGTATGTGTAGGGCGGAGCATTGACACCTGGTGCCCAGTGATGAAAGATTTGCCTTCACAAGCAGCAATGAGCAGAATCCCAGGCTTCCGGAGATATAAGAGAGTTCAGACGTCTCTAATCCAATCTCATCCCACCTCCTGATGCAGAAATACCAACCTATATTGTTCCTCGTAGGGAGCCTCTATTTCAATACCCTCACAGATGGGGAACTCATCACTTCACAAGACAACTCATTCCATTTGGAAGCAGCTCTGGTAGTTGAAACCATGTTCCTTATATTAAATCAAGTGCAGTTTCTCTCAGGCCAACAAGAATAAGTCTAATTTCTCTTCCTTGTGGCAGTCCTTCAGATGCTTCACAGAATCACAGAATATCAGGGACAGAAGGGACCCTAGACGCTATCCAGTCTAATACAGCCTTGATGAGGTGATGTTGACTTATTGCTCTTAAGTTCTGTCCTCTGGGACCAAACAGAAAATGTTTAATTCCACTTCACATGAAACTCCTTCTAATATTTAAAGCTAATTGGGGGAACTATATTCAGATCCTACCTTTATTACTTGTATGACTTTGGGCTAGTTATATAACCTCCCTTCGCCTCAATTTCCTCCCCTGTAATGAAGAAAGTCTACCCTCAGAGATCCATCTCAATGTATCCCTATCATGTTCCTCCTAAATCTTCCCTCTTGGAAGCTAAATATCCTCATTTAATTCAAATATTTCTCCAGTTCTCCACTTCTCATACTCTATTTCAGCTTATCCAAATTGCCTCTAAATTATTATGCCAGGATTTGAGGATACCACTCCAGATGTGGCTTGCCCAGGACGGAGGACAGAGGTAACTCTGCTATCCTCTATGCTCCTTGAAGTGCAGTTTAGCTTCCAATTCTTCCACAGATCTTCTCTGTTACCTCTCTGTGGCAAGGAGAGAGGTGGCCAATGGTTCTCAGCTTTAGTCTCCTCTTGGCAGTCCTACTGAGATGGAAAGTCACCATCTGGTGAGACCACCCACTAAAGCACAAAGAAACTGTAATCTGTGATAATGGAGGGAGGAAACATATTAATGAAAATATATGGAGCTCTATAGTGTTAATGACTGGATAACCAAAATGGCAAGGGACCTCAAGGATAACAAAATGCAATACAAAAATGGTTTGGAAGACTTCTGGTACAATTACTGAGTGTCTGAGCCCAACTTTTCTACCTTATCTCAAAACAAGAATGAGCCAGATAAAGTAAAAGAACAAAAATAAAGAAAAAGGGGAAAAGAAGGATTCTTCAAAAAGAAAACCTCGTACAAAAACCAATAGAGATGGAAAAATGAGTAAACTCACACATACACAATGTGGCTATGATGCAATGAATAAATATTATAGAGTAAAAGAAAGCAGTAGGTGGTACAGTAAGTAGAGGGCTGAGCCTGAAGTCAGGAGGTCACATCTTCCTGAGTTCAAATATGGCCTCAGACACATTCTAACTGTGTGACCCTGGGCAAGTCACTTCACCCTGTTTTCCTGCTTCCTCATGTATAAAATGAGCTGGAGAAGGAAATATCAAATTACTCCAATATCTTTGCTAAAAAAAACCAAACCCCAAATGGGGTCATGAAGATCAGACATTACTGAAATGACACAACAACAACAGCAAAAGCAAGGCCAAACTTGAGGATTAATACTATGACAACAACTAGACCCCCCCCCCAAATGAGAATGGAACAACTATGAGAAACACTGGAATGGCTTATGAGCTCATTGAAAGAACTAAAGAGAGAGAGAGAGAAAAAGATAGAAATTAGTATTGAAATTAGAATTCTCCCCCCCCAAAAGAATAAAAAAGGAAAAGAGAGAATCATCTATTTAGAACAAATGGTGGGAAATTTCACTTCTTCTCAATCTTCACATTGTAAAGAGGAGAACGAGGGTCTTCTGAGTTAGATGGTCATTTGAAAGGTATTGGAAGAATCCACCTTGCCCCCAAACACATCATCGAAGATTTAAAGGGTAACCCCTGGAAAAATGATCCAGAAGACCAAAGAGAAGCATGAATAAACTCCAGGTCTGCACAGGAAGATAGCTGGCCATAAGCAGGCACTCAGAGAAGAAAAACTCTGCAGGAGACTGGAGCCAGTATGAACTCCTATAGCTGGAAGTAGAATCCAGAAAGACCTTGGGCCAGGCTTACTAGAGTAGCAGGGGAGGAGGAGGGGCAGAGTCAGCTCCCTGTAGGTCACTGGACAAGGAGACAAGTCGGACAGTAACTACCACAGGGCACTCAGACACACAGATGCAAAAAGGGCCAGGGCAGTACCAGATGCCTTCCTGATACTCATTTCTTGTAGGGTCTCAGGAGGAGACAGGACCAACTTGATACCCAGACATATTAATCCAGTGGACCTTGCATGGGCCTGAGGCCAGAAACCAGCAAAATTTCTGACATTGTATTGGGATGTGTCTTCGAATCCATTTTTTAAAATTATATTTTACTTTTTAAAAAATCAGCAAAAATCTCTCTCCCTCCAATCTCCCCCAACCCCCAAGCTCCCTCTTCCCCAACTGAGAATGAAAGAAAAACAAAAAGGCTGTTGCAAAGCTAAGGTCAGGCAAAACATATTTCTATATTGGGCATGTCCAAAAAAA